ATTATTGCTGTTAGTTTACAACAGTCAACATAGAGTACGTAACACTAGATATTATTACTGTTAGTTTACAACAGTCAACATAGAGTACGTCACAGTAGATATTATTGCTGTTAGTTTACAACAGTCAACTTAGAGTACGTAACTGTAGATATTATTACCGTTACATTACAACAGTCAACATAGAGTACGTAATACTAGATATTATTGCTGTTAGTTTACAACAGTCAACATAGAGTACGTAACACTAGATATTATTACTGTTAGTTTACAACATTCAACATAGAGTACGTCACAGTAGATATTATTACCGTTAGTTTACAACAGTCAACATAGAGTACGTAACACTAGATATTATTACTGTTAGTTTACAACAGTCAACATAGAGTACGTCACCGTAGATATTATTACTGTTAGTTTACAACAGTCAACATAGAGTACGTAATACTAGATATTATTGCTGTTAGTTTACAACAGTCAACATAGAGTACGTAATACTAGATATTATTGCTGTTAGTTTACAACAGTCAACATAGAGTACGTAATACTAGATATTATTGCTGTTAGTTTACAACAGTCAACATAGAGTACGTAACACTAGGTATTATTACCGTTAGTTTACAACAGTCAACATAGAGTACGTAACACTAGATATTATTACCGTTAGTTTACAATAGTGAAAATTTACGTGTTCATTGAGCTAACCACTAGGCCAATTGTTTTAATGGTGATTTATTATAATGTAAGATGTGAATATGACCAATTAATAAAAAGTTGTTTAGAAAGTTTTGGATGTTGCTGGTAGGTGGCGTACTGGTTCGAAATTTTGAAGCCCGGAGCAAAAATCATAATTAGGTTCTCCTTCCAACAGATAATACGGCAAACACATGTACTACAGATGTGACCCACATGCACGTACATCACACACACAAGTATGTGTGGTAACATAGTAGTCTTGTTGTTCATATGGTAATACTTAATAAACAATTTTTGATATTCTCACCTCCCGAATTATTTGTGTTGTTGTCACTGTTAAATTTCAAGAAATGAATATAACGATTTTTGAAATGCCCATCTTCTTCCTCTCTCTTAATCGGGTTTTATGGGTGTCTGGGACCAGGGAGGGTTAGGTGCAACGGAGACTTCTTCCTCCCTCCTTGATGTTATAATTATATTATATATTTATTTAAAGTTCTCGGGAAAATTCTAAATGAATTACATCTCAGGATCAGGGTTCGAGTACTTACTCTGATCCTTTAATGTTTGCATTAATGTTTTACGCGCCTGGAATGTGCAGCCTGACTGACTGGTCCTGCGGCGCGGCCCTGTTAGTAAGATTGCACACATTCATATGTAAATACTGTATTTCCTTGAACGACATACAAAAGTATTATTTTCTCCTTAATTAAAGACAAAAGAGAGATTACATTACTAATTTGATTGGGTAAAAGTCCTACATATCATAAATAGTTCCGACAGCAAAAAAAAAAAAAAAACACTTTTCGTTTGATTAACTTACTAGAAACGTAATATTTCCATTAAAATGTGCTTCTTTGTAGAATTTGCGCCAAGCTATTCGAGGGCTATCTGTGCCAGCCGTTCCTAATTTAGAAGTGATAAACTACAGAGAAGATAGTAAGTCAATACCACCCATCGCCAACTGTTTACTAACGAACAGCGCGATTGATCATAACATCATAATGCCCCCACGACTAAAATGGCAAGCATATTTGATGGGGGGGGGGATTCGAACCCGTAATCTATAGATTGCGAGTCGAGTGTCCTAGCCACCTGGCAAATAAAATGTGAATCAATCTTAAATGATTAATGTTTTTCTTTTTTTTTTTAACAAACCAGATAAATTGAAATTAAGTGAGAAATGCGCCATAGGGGGTCCTGGAATGTGCAGTCTGACTGACTGGTCCCGCGGCGCGGCCCTGTTAGTAAGATTGCACACATTCATATATAAATATTGTATTTCCTTGAATAACATACAAAAGTATTATTTTCTCCTTAAAGACGAAAGAGAGATTGCATATATTTTTTTTTGGGTTGAGAAAATGAAGGTTTTTTAATTAGCTGTATTTGTGCGTTACGTAACTAAATGTGGCAAAAAAACTGTGGTATTGAAGCAAGGCGGCTTTTATGCATTCTAGATGTTAGTTTTACGTGTTTTATTTTTTTAACTGTGAAAAAGCTGCTCTTTCTGTTGTTGGGTTTAGCACGCGAAGTTCCGGTCGTGTGAGATAAATGTTTATTTAAGTTTATTTTAAGGCTTACTGGATATCCGATAAGACTGCCAAGTCTTAGCGACTGGGCTTTCACTTCTGGTCAGAGATTTTGTTATTAGTTGTTTAATTGCTCAGTGTTTTTCTTTAATATATGTATATATATATATTATTCTTAAATAAATTAACAACTGAGATTGAATTACTTGACGCAAACATAAGTAAGTAGCTTTAAAAAATTCTTAAAATGATATCATTTCAATAAAGATAAATAAATTACTGAATAAGTTTCTTTTCCATTTATTGGGAATGCCTCAGTTTATCGGATCCGTAAAGGTGAGACCTGGTGGTTAGGGCGCTCGACTCGCAATCTGTGGGTTTGAATTCATGTCACCGAACATGCTCGCCCTTTCAGCCATGAGGCGTTATAATGTGATAATCAATAACTCTATTCGTTAGTAGAAATAGTAGCCCAAGTGTTGGCTGTGGCTGATGTTGGCTATCTGCCTTCCCTCTACTCTATCATCGCTATATTAGGGACGGCTAGCGCAGATAGCCCTCGAGTAGTTTTGCGCAAAATTCAAAACAAACAGCAGCGCTATTACGAGATTACCACACTTTCAAAATTATCCTAAGGGATCGTGGAGAAAAGTAACGTTACTGGCAGAGCGGAAATTTGCACTCGCTTATTAGCTTTAGGCTTAATTATCTAAATCCAGTAAATCTATAAATTCAATAAATAAATAAATCAACTACAAAAATTATTACGTCTAATTTATTCATTAAAACGTAATTTTCCAACACCTAAAAAACAACGACAACAAAAAACAACTATAAATAATGTTGGGATACAAGTAACAAAAAGGGGGGGGGAGTAATAACATTTCGCCTGTACTTTATCAAAAGTCATTTCTGACAAGTCTTTTTTTCACTCCACACCAGGGTTTATTCTAAGGCTTACTGACTAGAATACTCAGTCTTAAAATGTTATTCAACGTATTCTTAACGTAACAACAGTCAAATGAATAATAATATAGGTGAAGCTGTAATATAGTCGTTTAGTTCTAGCTGATGGAAACATGTAACGTGATAAAAAGTGTCACGACATCTGGTAACTTTCAAAAATATCATGCTAAGCCACTTATTATTAACCTGCAGGATGTGGCCCTTCTGAATTCAATTTATTCGACAGGCCTAGTGTGTGTTGGCGCTGTAAGCTTCACTTCTTTAGATACGCGACAGGTGGCAAATCTAGTTCGTGTAACTCCCAAAAGGAACGTTTCACCTGCACTTGTGGCGCCCTCATCAACCATGACCGATAAAGTAAACACCACGTTGATGTAGTACGTGTTTAGCTCAAGTTGTTTGCTTTTCCCTTTTTGAAAAATGACGAAGTCTGTCTATCTAAACAGTTCAGTGGCTTTTGATAAAACTGACTGTTTGGTCAAGTGCATTAGACTTACTACATACAGTACACTCATAACAAAACTATGGTCATATACCACGGTATCGAACACGTGGCTAAATTCGACAAGACGCATTGAGGAAATACTGTTTAACGTTACTGTCAGTGTTAATTTCTGTTTCTCCAAACCTTACCAGAGTTTACTGATCTTTCAAGGGTCCGCAACACATGTTTTTAGGAGATACCACTTCGTGTGTTACTTACAGAACACCATGTGGGGGAAACAACTTACCGAAAATTTCTAATGCCTCATTAAAGGTGTACTTACTCTTAGAATCGGGTAGAATAGAGAATTAACCTGCAAGTTAGTACTGATGAGTAAAAATTAACTTGTAGTACGTTTGTTTTTGAATTTCGCGCAAAGCTACACGAGGGTTATCTG